GTTCAAATATTTATTTTTTGAATTTCTGCATTCAAAAATTCATTATCAAGTTTTTTTGTAACTTATATATAATTAATACTTATTTCTTGTTCTTTATCTGATTATATAAATTTTTTTCTTTTGAATTAATTGTTTTATAATTATTTTAAAACTTCTGTTTTAATAACTATTTAATTAATAGATCTTATTTTTTAGATTATTGTTTGGATTTTTGCAATTTATTTAGTTCTGTATCAATTATACAGTTTATATTTTTTATCATTACTATTTGTGTTTTTGCTATACATTTTATATATTTTTTTATTAGTATTTTTTATATAATTAATTTTTCTTCTTTGTTATTAGATGAGACATATATTATAATAACTAAGATTTCTATTTGTTTAAATATAAAATTGACTAAAATTTTTATATTTACTTATTTTATTTATTTATTCTAAATGCTTTTTTCATTGTTTGTTAATTAAAAAATCTATATTTAAATTTTTCTTTTTGCTTAAGTTTATATTTGCTTAAAAACTTTATACTTATTACAGTATTTTGTTAAAAATTTTTCTTTTTTTTGCTGTAATATTTGTTTTTGCAAACCTTAACACATTAATATTGTTATCTAAAAATATAATAACTTAGTGAAATAGATAAGTTGTTAACCTTCTAAGTAGTAGATTGTGAGTTTAAAACTTATTAATAGTGAAAATTTAGATAATTATTTATATAATATATAGACATTATTATAGCAATAGCAATCTATTGATCAGTTAAGATAAGATATCTGTAACTATGATTGTACTAACATAATTGGCAAGTCATAGAACATCTGCACAATATTAAAGTTATACAAAAAAATGCAAACTAACATCAAGTAATGCAAACTTAAAATAAATCCTTATAGTCATATAAATTTGTAAACTAAAAAATTAGAACCTATTTAAGAAGATCTGAGTAAAAAAGTAACATAGATCTTTGATGATATCATTGTAAAAGCTAGATCTAAGAAATGAATATTGATGTGAAAAGAATCAGATAAATAAGAATCTTGATAAGAAGTACCACTAACAGGTTACCAGAAATCTTAAACTAAAGAAAAAGAATCTTAAAGAGGCAGACCTTTGGGATACTAAAGACAGATCATAATCCTTTTAGGTTATCTGAATTGAAAGTTTAAGAACTAAAACAAAGTATAACTAAGTACTAGGAATATGTTATAAAATTAGTACTAGAATCTAGATAAACTTTACAAGAATGAGTCCTGTTAACTAAAATTAAGTATGAGTAGTTAATTAGCAAAAAAACCACCTAAAACCCTACAATTAAGTAATGTACTTTGAAATGTATAATAACTTAATAGATGTACAAACAAAAAAGTTAAGATTAGGTTAGATGTTACTTCAGTCTATAGGAACTTGTGCACTATCTGCTAGTATAGTATAAGAATCATTTTATACAAGTTATATAATCATAATTAAATTTACAATAAAGACAGTAATCACCAATAACTAACAGCCTCAGCAAAAGCAAAAAAAAAAAAAATAAATAAATATTAATAAAATAATCAAATAATATTAAACTTAGTTATTAAATAATTTTATATAATTGCAAAAATAATTTTAAAAATCCTAATAAAATATTAATATAATTGCTTAAAGCTAAAAAAAAAAACAATTAAACAAACTTTTCTAAATTCATGTTGTTAAAAACAACTCAAAAGCATGCATTTAAAAAAGATTGCAATTAGAAAACATATATTAAATATAACTTTAATAATCTAAAAATAATAAATTTGATTGGTTAGTAATTATGTAAATGCATTTATAAAAGTTTTATAAATGAACCAAATATTTAACATGCATTTACAACATAAAAAACGTGCATTTATTTATTTATGAGCCAACCTTATCTTATGCATTTAGAAAAAATGCATTTAACAGATCTCTTTGTATTACATTTTAAAGTTTTAAAATGAATTAACTTTTTAATTAATATATTTTTATTTTTTGCCTTACAAAATATTGAAAACCAGATTTTAAAATTTGGTTTTAAACAAAGCCAAGTTTAACTTATAATTGGAACTTATTATATAAAAACATGATTTTTATGTTTTTAATTTGGAACCTAAACCAAACCTAAACCAACTTTACCATTCCTGGTAGCTTATCGAGTTGCAACCTTTAAATATTAATGAAAAAGTTAATATTAAAATATAAATTTTAATAACCAAATTTATAGAAAGAAAATTTATTATAAATTACCAGATCATCAATCTTTAATAACATTTTTACTGTCTCGGCTGATAATTCTATAGCACTTGTTGAAACAAGTAAAGGCTGTATAACGTTTTCTTCAAGAATATTTGTGATAGACCCCTAATTATTTTTGTAAAGTTTATTAGCTTATCATAAATAAACATCAACATGAAATGACTATTATAAAATCTAAAATACCTTTCGAACATTAATTCCAGCAGTTTTCTCACCTAAAGCATGTCTATTTCGTAGTTCAGTAACAATATTAATCGGATTTAATCCTGCGTTTTCAGCAAGTGTTATAGGGATAACTTCAAGAGCATTTGCAAAAGCATCGAAACATTGAGCCTCCATTCCCTTCAATGATTTAGCACACTCAGCTAAACGTTGTGATACTTCAATTTCTGGTGCACCACCACCAGCTATTAAAGCTCTGACCGAAATAATGAAATATAATTGTTAGAAAAAATTATAATATATGAAAAACTTTAACGAGTATTCGTACTTCTTTTTTACAAGACAACGGACAACACATAGAGCGTCATGTAATGAACGTTCAGCTTCTTCTAGCACGAGGGAATTGGCACCACGACATAAAATAGACACAGTTTTCCCGACATGTTTAACGCCAGTAATTTTTACGACTCGTGCACCGGAAGTTTGAACCTCATCAACGAGTTCGGCAGAACCAAGCCTATCTTCACTAAAAGACTCGATATCCGCAATTGGTTTACACCCAGTGCTCTGAAAGTTAAATATGAAATTAACATTGATACAATAAATATTTTTTATGCAAAGGTATGATAATAACCTTGCAAATGAATTCTATTTCATCTCTCTCTATGTCCTTAACAACTAATATTTTCAATTTCGACAAGAAATGAAGTGATAGGTCGTTAACCGCGTCTCGAAGAATTGATTTTTGGATCAACAAGACATTGCATCCTGTTTTCTTTATTTTTTTGCACATAGTAAGGAGGTATTGCCGTTCTTCCTTCAAAATTTTATCCATAAGTCTATAATCGTTAACAATAATCTGGTTTTCCATCTATCAATTCAACAAAATAATTAATTCAATGATTAGGTTAATAAAAATGCATAGAAGTTTTATAAAATAAAAGTTACATCCGGCTTTGGAGGAGACAACTGAAATTGAATGAGACCAATTTTCGCTTTTTCAATACGAGATGGACCACCAGAACTCTTGATTACATTTTGAGTCAAAACAAGACCATCAACAAGTTCAGTATCATCGATAGTACCACCAACTTTTTTTACGATACGGATGTCTTTAAGGTCCACATTCGTTGCAGTTGCTGGATCAATTACACGTAACACAGCATATACAGCAATTGGAGCTAGAAGGTTGGAGTATTGAGAGACGATTTTTGAATTTAAGGAAGTAATAGCAGCTTTTAGTAAAGAATCTTCATCAGATAGGTCAATTTCAGTGGACATTTCTGTAAGAAATTCAGTAGACTTTATTGCAGCACGCTGAAATGCTTCGGCAATTGTCGTAGGATGTACACCTAGACAAAAATGAAATAATTAATAGGATTGTTTCACTTATATATAGGAAATTGATAAGAAATAAAATTTACCTTTTGCAAGCATTTTTTCAGCAGCACCCAAAAGTGCGCTGGCAATCACAACAACAGACGTGGTTCCATCACCAGCTTCGACATCTTGTGCAGCAGACAGATCAACCAGCTGTGAACCAGTCACTTTATTAATATAGATCCATTACGTATTATTTGATATATCGATATATATATATTAAATGAAGGATCACCATTTTAGCGGCGGGATGTAAGACGGACATATGCTTCAAAATAGTGGCACCGTCATTTGTAATTACAACTTCACCACTACCAGTTTGAATCTATATTGTGAAATATGACTTTAATAAATAGTTAAAAGAACATTTCCCTTTTGCATCAAAGAAATTACGCGTTTGAAATCAAAAGTCAAACTTCAGCGAAATTATTAAATTGCGTCAAAGAAAAAAAAAAAAAAGGCTAATATAAATAGAATCGCACAATTGTACGATTTACAAAAATAAATGTAGGTTTAATAGTAACTCACCATTTTATCCATGCCCTTAGGGCCGAGAGAAGTACGAATTGCATCACCAACCGCTGAATAGGAAAAAATAAGTACATGTAGTATAATAAGCGATCAGTTATTCTAAAAGAGTTATTTTTCAGAACAATGGGTATTCTTAAAATGCGAGATTCCAAGTGTGGATCTTCCTTCTATTTAGTCACAATAAGTCTTTGTTTTTTTTCTCCCAAATTTATAAGAATATTATATTTTCAAATGAAAAATTTACTACATGAATCTGCCAAAATGCACTTAGAGGAAGTTGGCTTTAATAAATTCACGCGTCAATAATGAATCAGTGAAGATATATAAGTAATCTATTAATTTATAACGATCTAAAAGTTTTCGTGGCGTTTCTGCTAAATGTTTTTAAAGTTTAAAAAAAGGCATACATAGCAGTACCTTTAGCAGCTATAATGTTACTGAGTCGAACTTCAACAGGTTTATCCTTATCTTTGAATGAACGGTATTTCGAAGATTTTGTTTCTGACATGTTAACTAACGCAACCACTTAGAAACGAATCTAACCGCAGGATTTATGTATGATTAGATTAGCCAATCAACATTTTATTATTTGTATCACTTAGAAAATGTTGATATTAGAAAATGTTGATAATGAATGCTGGTTTGGTAGATTATATATCGATATGCAAAATGGATAAAGACGACACGAAATCTTCGGAAATGCAAACATCAGATTACATACAAACAGAAAAAATACAAGAACCACAGCCGAGTGATTTTGTGGAAATCATGAAGGTCCGCTAATCCAATGCTCATTTAAATTCTTAAATGCCAAATTTGCGTGAAATAACGCTCCGGGCGTTATTTGAGGCACACAATTTCTAGAGAGCTAAGAATTAACTTTGATGAATACAAATAACAGTTTTATTTTTTTTAATCCTTGTTAAATTAATTCTTAACTCTCTATAAACGTGTGTTTCCGGGGCATTATTTCGCACAAACACGGTACTAAATATTGGATACTTCGACCTATTTCTGGTTTTTTTTTTGCCAACTCGTTTCACTGTAGAATCTAAACATAGATGATTTCAAAAATGTTGGTAAAATGGCGTGTTTCCGTGGTAGTCTCCTAAATGGAATCGGTGGTGGTGCCACAATCGGAGCACTGCGATATATGTTGAAAGGTTAGCGCGAATTTGAATATTATTTGAGTGAGTACACAGCAAAAGGGAAATTGTGTGGTAAAATTTTTTTTTTTGTTCCAGTTGTTGCGTAGTTAAAAATGGTAATAAAAATCAAATGATTACACATTTGACACAGTGATACATATTATTTACGTAAAAAAATCGTTCCTAGGCATGTTTTTTGCTGTGTACTCGCCCATATGTTATTTGAGAAAACAGTAAAATAAAGCATCTTGTAAGTAGCACATAAAGACAAGGAATTATTTTATACATATAGGTAGTATTCTCTCTGCCTCAAATTGGGCTGTTGGATCATTTTTCTTAATCTCGATGGGATCATGGTTTGCCAAGGCGACAGTTTTATTCTGTTTCAAATATATAAATATACACACAGCTGATTGAATAATCTCTTGATAGGGAGTATTGCAGGAGAAAACGGAGACTGCAACATGAAAGCATGTTGATTGTTGTACAGAAACTAAACGAATTGAAGAGGAAAAAGGCACAGGAAAAAGCAGCTGAAAATGCAGAGAAAATTGATTCTGTCACAAAATAATAAACTTAAAGAGGAATTAATAAAAGTTCTTGCTAGTTTCAAATAAATTTCATTAAATAATGTTTTGAATAAAAAACAGCAATATTGTCGTATAGTAAAAATATAAACAAATAATTTTATTTATTAAATATATATGTCGTTAGAATAGATCGGAGTTCCAAATGTAGCCCAAGTTGATATAAAAGTGACTTAAGTTGGTTCTAAATTTGATACTGTAATAAATGTGTAATCGATTGATAGTTAAATTGCAGGATAAATTATCATACTTATTTTATTTTTTCATTTTTTGCAACACTTATTAAGGACTATTCAGGTTTGACATTATTTCTTTTTGTACTGTTAACAGGCTGTAGCAATGTTTGTTACCTGGCAGTAAGATGCAAAGAGTTCTTTGTTAAGTTATCTACTCACTCTACAGATTTTAATAAAACTATGCCTTTGCAAAATTCATCCATACTTCAGTATCTACTTTACAGCATATCTTTAATACTTTAGTATGCTTCTACTTTGTTTTTAGACTTCTAATTTAGATAACTCAAAAAGACTATAATCTATCATTGGTATATCAAGTATAGTTTAATATTTTTTTTTTTAGTTTGATCTAACAGCTTGGTTGATAGTACTACTCATCTAGAGATTCTTGTTCATCTGATTTCTCTGTATTGGTATCTGTTTTCTTAGTCTAGTCTTTATAGTAGTACTGTTAAAAATCTATATTATTTCTTTACTTAGATCTTTTCAAATAGGTTTCAGTTTTTTTTAGTTTTATAAATTTATACAATTACAAGAACTTATCTTGAGTTTATATTATCTAGTATTAGTTTGTATCTCTTTGTATAACTAAAGTTATACAGATACTTTATAATTTGTCAGTTATATTAGTATGATTATACATATTTATAGATATCTTATTTTAACTAATTGATAAGATATTATTATCATAATACTAGTTGAGTATTACATAGATAATTATTCAAATTTTTGCTATTAGTGGGTTTTAAATTCATAACTTACTACTTGAAAAGTTGACAACCTATTTATTTCACTAAGTTACTATATTTTTTACTAAAGTATTTTTAAGTTTTAGTATATTGAATTTAAAAATACCAAAATGAAGTTTTTTTTTATTTTAATTAAAAAATTACTATTATTTTTACTATTATTATAAATATATTATAAATAATATTTATAAATATAATAAAATAATAGGTTAGTTATAACAATTATATATAAAGTAGGAATATATAACAAATTTGTCAAGTTGAAATTCTATACTCTTTCTTATAGATTTCTTGACCAAAAATTGATAAGAAACAAAACATAAAAAATATTACAAAACATACTAAGAAGCAACATTGAGACCCTTAGTAAAAAAGAAAGAGTTACAAAAGTTACACTTAGCTAAAAAACAAAATATAAATAAAAAAGCTTAGAGGTAACAGAGCTTGGAAAAATAAAAAATTTTTTGATGAAAATATAAATTTTTTTTTATAAATTTTGAAGAATTTCTGTAACTCTGTTGTGTAGATCAATTAGGTTACATAAAAAATACAACAAAACAAGTAAGATAAATAAACAAGTATGTGTACAGAAATAGTTTATCAGAGCAAGCACGTGATATAGAGACAACTATATTAAACCAACTGATGAATAAAATGACAACAATTAGTATAAGAGAAAATATATATGAAATAAGACCTGAGAGCTTATTAAAAAAGATGTTAGAAAAATCAACAGCACAAAGCTTACAAAGGGTCAGTAATGCAGAGCTAGTCAAAACACTAGAAACAACAGATGTTATAGAAACAAGAATAGACAGATATATAGCATTATTGTTCACAGCAGATGTAGCAGATATAGCAGCAATAAGAATATTAAGTAAAGTTATCACATGGGTAGACAAAAGAAGTAAATTGATAGATTTCAGCTTTAAAATAGAGGATAGCTTACAATAGCAAAAAGAAAGAGAAACAAAAAATACAGTCCAGATAGGAAAAATAGTTGAAACAAAAAAAAATGAAGAAAAAGAAAAATATGAAGAAGAATTCAAAAAATACAAAACAGGTAAGGAACAGATAGTAATAGATAAAAAACAAAGATATATAGCATAAGAACAAGATATAAAAGAAGCAAAAAGAGACAAAAAAACTTCACAACACATTTCAAGCCTAGTAGAAGCAGAAGAAAAAAAAGAAAACAAAGAAGAAGATTAATGATATTGCAAGAAGATGTAACAAAAGTATGTTAGAGCAAAGCATCTGGGCATCAGACAACAGACTATGCAACAATAAAATACTAGTAATAGTAAGAATTCCTGCTTATAATGTTTCAGATGAAACAAAGTTAGAAAGAACAAGCATAGTAAATTAGATGCTTAATGCAAATAGATATATTATAAAAATTGAAAAAATCTTTGTAAAAGACAATAGTTAGATTGAAATATCATTTGATTGCAAAAGAGAAAAAGAAGAAGCAATTAATCGAATAAAGTAAAAAGGTAAAGAGTGGTTTAATTTAATTTTAGTTGAAACACAAAACCAAGTAGAGAGTAAGAAAGAACAAGATGAAGCAAAGAACAAGTGTAGAGTAAAGAATAAACAACAAAAAGAAAGTAAAAAATCTGAAGATCCAAAATGAAAAAAGCCCAAACAAAAAAAAACACAACAAAGCAAAATAGAAAAGCAAGATGAAACTAAAACAGAAGCAGAAAGACAGCAAACAGAAAGACTAAAAGAAGCAGAAACAACAAAATTCTTAACAATTTGAAACTTACTATTGGACATTAGTAAAAAGGAACTAAAATATATATGCAGAAGTATAAGAAATATGTATATAATACGAATCAAAAGATTACAATACAAAGCACTAGCAGTTATAGTAGCAAATTATAGAAAAGAGAGAGACAACATATAAGCATTACCTCTTGGCAACAATGAATTAGCAAGAGTAATAGAAGGAAATAAAAACTATACACAAAAAGAAAAACAAAGTTGTTTTATAGCAAAATTACTAAACATCTTTAAAGAAGTATCAAAAATGCTTTTATTAAGATGTCTAAGGAATAAGAGAGCAAAAGCAGTATATATACTATTTAACAGTAATGCAAAATAAAAAGTTTGCAATAATCACCTTTGCAAATGCTCAAAAAACAGAGACAGCTCAAACAATACCAATATGGTACAACAACCATCAAGTAAGTTGGGAAAATCCTAGAAGAAGAAAAACCTACAAGAGAGAAAAGTCAAAAGGCAGAAGACAAGAAAGTTCAAAGTCAAGCAATAAGAGACAGTCGAAATACAAAAGACAAGAAACATTGAGAGTCAGAAGCACAAGATATAAAACACCAACCAAGAGATATGGAGAAATAGAAAGCAATTCTTAGTTACAAAATATAAAAGCATGGTTAGGGGATAAAAACACAGATATAAAAGAAGAAGCAGTAATAAAAAAAAAAAGAAAGCCAAAATGAATATACTAAATCAAGAAAGAATATTACTGTAAAAAATATCTTGTATCAAATATTAGAGAGACTAGATAAAATAAAAGAAATGCAGCTGAGGGTGAGGGAAGATCTAGCAGATTACTTCTAAGGGCACCTTAGTTGAGTTTAGGAATACAAATAAGGAGATTGAAGCCTTTTTACAAAAGAAAAGAAAAATATTTAAAGGAAAAGAACAAGAAACATCTTTTTATCTAAGAAAAAGAAAGATGACCAAAAAACTAACAACACAGAAGCAAAACAAAAACAACTAAAAAAAAAATAGAAAGAAAGAAGAAAAGAAATCAAAATAGCATGTCATAATATTAATAGCTTGAAGACCAAAGGTTAGAAACTCAAAAACTTATTGGACTGAGCAGAAGAAAAAAAATTGCAATATTGGGAATTACAGAAACAAACATTGCTGAAAGAGAAGGAAGGTTTTTAACATATGCAGCAAACAAAAATTATATAGGATATTGGACAAATGCAGCAGAAGATAAGAAAAAAGGACCAGATATAGGAATTCTAATAAAAGAACAGAATAAATGAATACATAATAGAGATCATATTATACTTTAAGCAATTAGAGTTAGTGGTAATAGGAATTTATATACCACCAAGTAACAAGACAATGGGAAGAATCATTTAGTAAAAGATTGTAAAAAGAGTTACTAAACAGAAAAGACAAACACAATTTGTAATTATGGGTAACTTTAATCATATAGTGGACAATGTAATAGACAGACAACACTCACAATTAGCAAATTTTAAAAAACTACTAATTTTTAATTGGATATGAAAGCAAAACTTTATAAACACATATAGAAATATGCATCTAACAAGTTTAGAGTATACATGATCAAACAAGAAAGCTGCAACAAGAATTAACTATATTTAGATATCAGAAGAACTGGCTTTGGGTTTACAAAAAGCAAACATTGAGAAAACAAAAAAAATTACAGAAAGTG